TACACACTTGTGCGACCACCAATGAACATACTGCAGTAAAATGACGAGCAGTCGTGCTATATATGTACTAATATTTTTTCGAAATATAATCTAGCGTAGAGACCAGATGAGAAGTTCATTCACTTCATTGGATTGCATATTAGGAAAGCATTGATCATCTGGAAGCTTTCGGATTATTTCATATCAAGTATATAATTTCTAAATAGTCTATCTTGCATAAGTTTTTGATTTTAGCCCGTTATAAAGCTTCTAATTAATCGGCATAACAACAAATATTCCTATACTTCTCAGTCGGACGACAACTTAATGAAGAATTTGGAACTATTTGATCGACTTGTTACACGATTTAATGATCGTGTCCTTTTTGTAAAAGGTAACTGCTCCTTCACATGTTTGCTAGTTAAATTAAATTGCTAATTGCTAACTATGCTTTTTCATAAGATGATCATTCGTTTTGCAGATATGGGTGCAGAGAATGCAGAAGTATGCCAGTGGACATTTTTTGGACAAGGCAGAAAAAAGGCCGAAGTAAGCTGGACAAGTTTTTTCTTTTATCATATCAAGATCAGTTTTTTCTGCCAGATCGGATTCTTCATACCTCAAGTTTTTTAGAATTAACTCTTTCCTTTCATATCAATACCCAGTATATTTTACTATGCAATACAAATTTGTTTGTTTTTCTCATTGAAATTCACACTTTACGGCTTCATTGTTTTTAACTGACTTTTTTAGGGGTTATTGTTAATTTTAAAACACTTTGTGCGATGTGATATATGATCATTTATCGTCCATCGAAGTGATCAGTCTGATCATTATTTTCATAAATCGCGAAGCTGTTTACCATTAAATAAATTACAGATTTGTTGTACATCAATAGTTTATGCAACTGATAAAAAACAAACGAAAGTCGAATTCCCAGAAGCTCGTATTTATGAAGAAGCAATGAACGTCTTACTCTTTGAAGAGCGACACGTTTGTATTCGGTGTGGTGGTGAAGGCGGGAGCTGCTCACCACCACGCGGCCTTTCTACGTCCCAATTGCAGCTTCCACCATTTATTTATTCGTCTCACAGCGCTTCAGTTTCGGTGTGTTTTAATACATCGATTTTAAAAGTAAAAATTCATCTTGTCAAATAGGACTGTCATAGAACATAGAACTGCGTATTTTATAGAAATGAAATGAGTGAGAAAATTTTTAAATATAACTATATATTTTTGCGGAAGGATTTTTCTGTAGAATGTAATATTGGATATCTTTCCAGCCACAGTGTACTTCACCTGCTTTGTTTGGTAATGATGTGCCAGGAACTAGCGGGCAGGATGATCGACGTCGTGCTTCAAAATTGATTGATGGACGCTCAAATAGCCTTGTTGTAACAACCGTTAGTGAGGATACAACATAAATGTAAATTTTACATCGGGGATTTCCGATATCGGGATAATTCCAGTAAAGTCTCTGGAGAACTGCAGACCTAATTTGTAAAAGTTTTTTTCTACACTGAAACAAGTCCGGGAAAGTTTGCTGCTGGGAGAAATGAGTGATTACTTTGTTTACTTCCAGTGTTTATTTTATGAGGCTTGGTCCAAGAGTTTTCTTCCTTGCCAACAACACTAAGATTTATCGTTAACATTACTTGACTGTTGGTTGTTTAAGGGTAGGTTTTTAGTTCAGAAGAGTACTTCTGATTTAAAATTTTTTAAATCTACTTTTGTGGAGCGCAAGAGACCGTAATTTTTATTGCTTTTCGTGATTTACTTCAGTGTTTAACTTTCTCTGTTGACTAGGAATTTGAGCTTGTTTTATTAATTTCATGTTTTATTATATTTGCATTTTACGCTTCGGCTTTCTTTTTTTTTGAATAAAAATGTGCAGGAACAAGATTTTGTAATTCTTCTATCAGTTAAGAACGTATTCTTTGGCTTCAATACGTAATAAGCATCCGATTGTATAGTATTAGATGTCAATAAGTTCCGTGTGACTGCGTTACATCTCGTAAAACTGTGATATTATTGGATTAAAAAATCCGAGATAATGTTCACTATGTTAAATTATTATTTCATGTTATTAGATGAGCTATATTAAATTATTATTTCTTATTACTGAGTTAGTCTATGCTAAATTATCATTTCATGTTAAGGCTAAAATTCTATGCTGGATGAAATGTCATTTAGATTCATTTAAAAAGAAAAGTCATATGATCTTTCATTGTTAAAATATGTTTGTAAATGTTAATCGTTTGTATAATGTTTCTAAATTATGTTTTTGAAAATAAAATCTCATCTAGCGGAGACGTAAACTGGATTAGAGGATATACCTAAACAGTATTCATGCGATTATTTTTTTATTGCTTATGTGTGTCATTTAATTATTGGATTACAAACTAAAACTCTTTATTTTTGAAATGTTCATATTTTAGCTATGACAGCTGATCTGTTAAAATTATGTGACCCAGCAGCTTATTATAATCAATTCTTATCGGAATCAATTTATCCAGATGGTCGGTCAATTAGTCGCTTTCGGCCAATAATGCTACGGGTTAATTTTTTGTCATTTCTCATTTCTCCATAAAATAAAGATATTATAGAAGTACATGCTTTGATACTGTCCGTGATAAGAATTGACAGAGAGCAATGGAAGGGACATGGAAGATCAAAATTTGGGTGGCCCTTTCTCTATGTTTTATAGATTTAGATGGGTGTTAACGGACGATCAGCGGGTTCCAGTTTTGCTCGACAAGGCGGGGCAACTGTTACATGTAATATTGAAGCATTGTTGGCACCCGTTTCGGATGCTCCCATTATTATGCCCATTATACAGGCTGCTCCAAATATACCAAAAGTAGGTTTTGTTTTGTTTTAATTTTCACGATTAAGTAAAATACGAAAATTAATTCTGGTAAAAATTTGAACATTTGAACATACCTTTCCGTTTACGATATTAATGAATGTGTTGTACAATTTGATGATCGGAAGATTTCTTTCGTAGAATTTGGTCGAAGATGCAATGGTTATGGTCAATCAACTTGTGGCACAAAATGCCTTCTGCACGAAAGATGCATTGAAAACGGCGGGTGGACGGCTAACATGGCTTCTTAATTTACATATCATGGTAATTTTGTGATGCCTTTATATCTTCATTGACTTACTGTGTCTCAGGAAGGTTGTCAATTGAATCAAAAACCACTTAGCAGAGGCCATGGTATTGTTATAGTGGAGAGCTATTCAAAATGAATTTTACTAAGTTCAAGCACAAAACGTGAAGCGGTTAAGCGATGGAATTTCCTGTTCAAGTGTAGTGTAGCTTTTGTGTTTATAAGAGATATAGAATTTACTGAATAATACGAAGTTATTACAAAGCAATTACACTATTACAATATTACATCATGTCAAATGACTGTAGGAACGCTTTCTAGATTTTAAACGTTGACGGGGCTATATGTGATGCCTTATGTACATGTATAGCTGGAGCATTGGTTGACTTGCGGCTTCCCGATGTTTGTACTGATTGTGAAGAAGATATCCCTATTGATATCAACAAAGTTAAACTCAGCGAGACATTTCATCACATCGAAATTGTGGATATTCCGGTTTCATCGACATTTATCGTTTATGAACCACCAAATGAAGAGGTAGACACTTTCATTCGTTACTATCATTCTGCGATGTATTTTTTTCTTTCATAATTTGTGTTGAATTGTGTTTACTAGCAAATGTTTTCTTAATCATGCTGTCGTAGAAAGCTTCCAATAATTTCTCGATTTTTTTTCTTTATAAAAAATCTTTTTTATAATCTCAAGCATTACGTAAATATTGAAATTTTGTTGATGAGATCATCTCACAGTTCTGTAGTTGGCGATTTCTCCAACGAATGCCCACCATCTCATCGTAGCATGGAAATTTTAGACAGTTCTACTATGGCAGAGAGTATTATATACTCCCAGAAACTTTGGGGGCTGAAAGTACCGCCATCTGTTAATGGGTAGTGATCACTAGGAGTGGGTTAAATGCTATCTATTGGAGATTTAACGAGTTTTGTGGGGTTAGTACAAAGTTTTTGTAGCCCGTTGTAATGGAAGATTACACAGCTTTGCAGTTTAGTTTTCACTTTAATTTTCGAGGAATTTATATTCAGTCTTACTCATTGGAAATAGCAACATCTCTTGAGAGCTTTGTTTATGACTTTAGGCATGAAAAAGGAAAAAAAGAACTCATTCAGTCATAATTTACATACAGTTCCAAATATTAAAGTGTGAAATGAAGCTTAACGTTTCGAATTATGTAGTACTTGATGAAGTCATAATAGACCCTATTAACGAGTCTGTTTTGCAGGTGAAAATTCTTTGTGACCCAGTGTCCGAATTATTTCGGGTAGCTCCTAACACAGTAATGATAGTAGTTGGAAATAATGCTCGAATCCATCGTATAAGTCAATCAGGCATATGCGGTGATGAAAATACGATGCGACATATGGTTGAGATGGCCGTTGGACGGCAGAAAGTAGTAGCTGAATCGATGCTTAAAGCTAAAGAGGCCCACTTAATGAGAGAAAAGGAATAATATCTTTGAATATATATATATATATATATATATATATATAT